TCTGGTACGCTCTGCGCCAACCGATGGTGGCGCTCTGCTTAGATAGTCCTGCCGGCACTAAAACCATCCTGGGCAGAACCCTGTAGGCCCTCTAGTATTGTTCCCTCACTGGCTTAATTAATTGATGTGCTTATTTGGTTGTTGCTGTCTGCTGCATTGAAAACTGCTTTGTTGAAATAAAGTCTTCCTTTCAGAAGGCAAAAGAGAACAGCCAAAGCCTACCCTTTACCAAAAATTCTTTGAAGGAAACTTTCCCAGAATAACAATGTGGGAAGAACAGAAAGACTGATGATATGTATTGTAAAAACTCTTTTTCTGTTTGCGTTTTTTATTGTCACGTGACTAAAAAATGCGTGAGGAAAAATCAGTTGTTACAATAATCAAAATAATAAGTAAAAGGTAAGAGTTAATTTCTTTTGTTTAAATCATAAACTTGCAGGCTGTCTTCAAACAACTTCCGATTGTCAGATTTCTATGAGTGTGCAACACAAAACGGTATTGGAGAGCTTAACATGGGATGAAAAACATTGCTCTACAAAATTACAGAGTTCAGAGAACTTTATTTATTGATGGATTTTAACGGATTTAGGAAATATGCCAGTGAAACTTGTGGGGGGGCCAGGGTCAGGTAAAAATTGTTTTTTCAATATTTGTTGGAACCTTATGTTCCTCTTCTTGTCTTTATCTCAGGGCTTCAAATACAAGATGCGTTGCGTCTACGCCCATTTCCCTATCAACTGCGCCATCCAGGAGGAAAACAAGCTGCTGGAGGTGCGCAACTTCTTGGGCGAGAAGTTTGTGCGGCGTGTCTACATGAAGGAAGGCGTGAAGGTCTCCGCGTCCGCCAAGGTCAAGGACGAGCTAATTCTAGAGGGCAATGACATTGAGCTTGTCTCGCAGTCAGGTGGGTGACTCGCCCTTACCCGTTAGGCTGCTTTGGAATCCGGTATTTGTCCGGGTGTGTGGATTGAGTTTTTGTCATTGACTTGCAGCACTAAGAGGAATGTAGAAAACAACCAGCGACAACAGTGCTCTTATTGTTCAATGGGCTAATTATCCAGAGTTGCTAATTTGTTAACCTCCAGAGTATGTAGAGCATTTCTTGTTAGAGTAAAGTATGATTTCAGTTTAGATGAGCTGTTCTCGTATTCAGGTGCACGGTAGTAGAGTTTTCAGTATTACGTATGTTCCAAGAGTTCTCCAATGGGAACGGCATTGTGTTTGCACAAAAACAGGTGGCAGTCCTGTTACACTGGTCCAAGTACATGTGTATTCACTTGAGAACTTAAGGGTCGAGTTCGGGCAGGCTGTTCTTGACATGGGTTTCCTATTCTCGCACTCGAACAGTGGGAACACGACCCAAGAACACTTCTTGGAACAGGATCACACACCACCTCCTTGTCAGGGTTTTACAGGAATACAAAGCCCGAGAAAATGGGAAGTTTTGCAAAATTAAAATTGATTCCTGTAACGCAGAAAGTTTGATCCTTTTTAAATAGAAAAGAATGCAGCTCGGTTATCCAAACATTAACTGGAACATTTCTGAACCTCATTCTGATGTTACGTTATCCTGCTGAGTGTGGCATAGATTCAGCAGAAACACAGTGTGAAGTCTGCTGAATCTAGTGTACTCCTGCAAAGGTCTTCTATGGGCAGCTTCAGATCAGTATTATGGAATATCCTACACTTGTTTCCTTGTTTGTGTCAACTAACCAAGTAAAAATAACCAAGGAATGCTGTTGTTACACTTCATTAGAATTACACGTAGCTTGGGACTTGAATTCACACTGGATGTTTTATGATGGTCTTGTGACTGTCTATAAAGGTCTTGACTACAACTGTAAATTTAAAAGGTTACTACTAAATAAACAGCATCACTTTCACTGATATTTGTTTTTCTACAGCTGCCTTGGTGCAACAGTCCACAACAGTCAGGAACAAGGACATCAGAAAGTTCCTGGATGGCATCTACGTCTCAGAAAAGACCACCGTCGAAGAACCATTGTAAACATGCTTCCCCCCCTCCCGGAAAGGAAGAGCTTGACCCAGATTGGAATTCGGCCCATTTAGGAATGTATTACTGCAGATCCACGGCGCTTCATCCTCGGTGAGGGAACATAACCTCTGGCTGTGAGTGGAACATTTTGACCTTGCATGGACATTTTCAAGTGCTCATTAGTTGCAATTTGGGTTTTCAAGACAATCTCGAGCACTTTGCGTCAGATGAAAACTGCTATAAATTGACAAAGGGATTAAGGTATTTTGCCCCTCTGAGAATAAACCAATCACAGGAGGAGTGTAATTGTTGGTTTTGATTTATTTTTATTAGCCCCCCCCCGGTGGAAACAGGATGCTCTTTGTGCCCAGGAGGCATAACAAATGGAAATTCAACAAAACCTGCTTTCAAATGAAGTTTTATTCATAGGAAAATAGTAATTTTTAAATCAAGTTCAAAATGGAAATAACTAACACTGGAGAGTTAAGAGGCAAAGATACATTTGGACGAAACGTTAGCAATACACAGTGTCCATTACTCTGTGCACTGTGCGCAAACGGGGACTACCCATTTCAACATATCTTAAAACCTTGAACTTTCAATTCAAAGTGAACTGAAAATGTTCAGTGAAAATAATTTACTTAGTGGATTGGTTTCCCCACGTTTATAAAGCTGGATTTTATCAGCTTTTACATCTAAGCTCTTGAAGTGTTTATATGAAAATCAAAACTGAATGCATATATACACTACAGCCCTTCAACCAAAAGAATGACTGTACTCAAGTTTTACACAACTCTTGGACAAATGACCACACTGGGTCAGCATTTGTTTAGTCTGTAAACTATACAAAGGACTGTGGTGGTGGTATCTTACAGTACTAAAAACAGTCGGTATTTTCGACCAAAATTTATACCGCACTTGGGAAAACTTGTGAGGAACAGTACCATCAGCACATAGTTAATGGACATTAGTGCCCTCTCAGCTAAGACAGAGAGACAAAGCTTGGCGGGTATGCTATCGCTGTCGGGCCAGACCCTGCATACAGTGTCGTGTACTGTCAGAGTTAAATGGCTTATGCCGTGGGTGTGTGAAGTGCATGCACAAGTGTGCTGGCCCTAAAATGATGCCGCCACTTGTAATGAAGCCCCCTCGCATCATTGACAACTCTGGGCACTTTCTCATGCCATGACATAACTCTGTGACCGAGGAAGAAGACTGCATGCATTTAAGGCCAGAAACAAATATGGAATGCTCTGCTTTCAAAATAAACAACTGGACCAAAGCACAATTACAAAATGTGGCTTGAACTACATCGATGTTACAATGACGAAGCTTGGATAACCCTAAATGCAATACGCTCTTTCGCAGAATGTATCAAACTGCAAATTATACCTAAAGAAATCAGAATACAACCACATAAACTACTCAAGCTGGTCTGGAATTAAGTATTGCACATAATGACTCTATAAATGCATTTGGACAAATAAAATGTTAAAGGGCGCGTCATTAAAAATATATTCATATGAATCATAAAGCAGACAACAACCAAAATATATTTTGATTAAATTATGCAAGTTACTCATTTCCAGAGGGTTTGAAGAAGACATGGATTTTTTACTTTATAAAAAGTAAAAGTTACAAATTGGCCATCTTTACCCAGATGCTGAGTACTTCAATGGGTATTAACCGTACACCTCACAAGTTGGGGGGGCTGACTAGTTAGTTGCCGAGTTGTAGATTGCAAGTTCTGGCATGCAATTTCCCATTGGCTTGAGGCAGACTCGGGCTCAGCCCGCGCTGCGTGAGATGATCATCCAGCCAATCACAAAGTAGAACAGAAAGATGGGATAGACAGCCAGGAGCTTCCTGTGCTGTGGTTGGCTGTCTGCCAGGAATGCCAAAGATGCTGTGGAGAAACGAGAGATGTTTTCAGGAGTGTGAGAAATATCACATAAGTTTTTTCTTTTCACATACAGGTTGGGAAGTGTATTACTTGACCTGTGCAAATGCTTACATCAACATCATTTACATGTTAAGAACTTCATGCCTTTGCACTCTAAGAACTATACAGTAATTTTCTGGACAGTTTGAAATACCAGCAAAGATGAACAAGAAAACACCCCAAACAAATATGCCACAAAAGTGAAATCTCATTCACCAAAAGTTGACCAGATGAAAGCACAGAAGACGAGCACCAGCCGGATGATGAACAGCAAGGTGGAGTCCTCGCTGAGCATGATGAGCCGGCAGATGATGAGACTGATGACTAAGGGTAGTATGCAGTAACCCAGCACGCACACACTCTGGAAGAAGGAACTGCAGTAGAAGGGGAAATGATAAAATACAGACATTTAAGAATGCGTTAAAAAGTGCCCGTCCAAGCCCATACCTAAACCTGTGACTTCAATTTGTGATCACCAAACGGTCCTCGTTGGAAATTGAAGAATTTGATTCTTTAAATGATGGCCTTGAACTTCGACACATTGAGACAAAAATCAATAAGCTTCTAGAGGACACCAAGACCGACCAACATACCAAGCAGTGTGTAATGCCAAATAACAAGAACCAGAACAGCGGGAAACCAACATTTTGTTAACGACAACGCTCATAAGAATAGTCCAAGTAAAAACATGTTAGCCACTGCTCAGTTAAGAAACAAATTAGATTTATAGTAAAGATTGCGGTAACACCATGTATTTATCTCTTCTTTGAGTATGTGTGGTTCTGAGAAGAAGAATTATTCCCCGGTTCTCCTCAGAACCACACATACTCAAAGAAGAGATAAATACATGGTGTTACCGCAATCTTTACTGTAAATCTAGTTTCTTTCACCATGAAAACCTTTAAGTCTTAAGAAACAAATTACATACATGACTTTTAGTTATTGCAGAAAAGAAGTTTACAACAAAACATTCTGCATTTTTTACCGAAGATTAATGCATGGTGTTACCAAAAATGTTCTGAATGCCTGTTTCTTGAATCATGATTTCCAAATCATTTGTCAGATTCAGGATTGGGTGTGCAATATAAACAATGTTCTTGTCACAATTACTCATTACATGTATACACCACTCATGGAATACAGTTGTCGCAGTTCTTTGAACTGTCTTACAACTTCTCTTTTGCATGGAACAGCCCAAGAAAACCTGTTTCCCAAGAAAAGGAAAAAAACCCCAGAGATTGCCCGCCCAATCTGCTATTGTAATTTGCTATACATAAGGATTTGCACTTGTATGTTCCCATGCTGTAGTGTTTGGTTCTGTGTATTTGCTTTCTTTCTTAATAATAGCTCCATTACTTTATACAAATGGATTGGTGGAGGCCGCCTTAAAAATGCTTGAGAAGTGAAGTCTCCACTGTTTCACTTATGAAACCAAAATTGAAACAGCAAAATAATAGTGCAGCATCACTTGGTGGAGGTTAACAATTACGATTGCACATCTTTACTACAATGTACGTGTAAGCAGCATTGCCTGGCGGCAGTTATCTGATGGAAATCTGAAAGTGATTGTGGCTGAGGAATTGTGACAAAATGTAGTTATTCAACATCACGTTTCATCCTTCATCAACATGAAAATTACCACCAGTAATTATATTCATGTCAAGATCAGAACCATCCATGGCTGCAAGGAGCATAGTCCTCTCTTGTTTTTTAGGACGCAGGATTGTCCATATCCTGAGAAATTTATTACATGCTTCATGCACCCTTTGAAATCAGGCTGTCTCTATTTCAAACACAAAAACATTATTTTTAAGCTGCAACAGTTGAACGCATGGCACACGCTACAAGGCCGAGTACCAGAATATTGATTTTGGATTGTGGAAAAGAAATTATCTCCGTCATACTTTGTGTCAGAATCAAGCAGTCATGTTTATTATCAGGGAGAAGTAATGAACTGCAGTAACAGCCAATAAGCTGTGTGCCCTTTAGCTAACATTTTCAAGCAGTTTTACTTGAGTGCCAGTCATTTAATACACGACACAATGGCAGCAGGAAATTTTGATGCTTTTACTATACCAAGGTCCGTCATTAGAGATGATGCTTCTATGCAAGACCACCATCTAATCGCATGCATGAATATCAGCATGGCCTTAAGCCTATCACTCTTCTGTCAATGCAAGGCAAGCGTAACGGGTAATTAAAGGGAACGATCGATGGCTATTTTCCGTCTCTTGAGGATGCTGACCAAAAACAAGAAACCACTGGTGCATCTCCATGCCAACCTAAAGAGCAGATACAGTTGGCACAGAGAAAGACCACTACCATCAGATGGGTGTTGGTGTCCCAATTTTGCAGGCCCTGCAAGATCTCGAGTAAATTTTTCTAAGCATATGAAGCATCAGAACCCAACTCTGAATTAATGATTAACAACCAAGATTTGACTGAACTCTGAAGAACGGTCAGGCATCACCGACTGAGCACTGATCATTCTGTGATTTGACACAACAGTTCACGGGTGAAATCACTGCTGAAGTGCATGGCCAACAATGCATGTGAAGGTCCAAAGTATCCTGCTGGGAGGTTGGCTTGCCTTGCTGGTTTTCATACACAGTGTTGACACCACCTGTCTGGGCTGTCCACAAGGATGGACATATTACAATAAATCATGTGACTTCGTGATCACTAACAGTAGACTCAACTGGACTAAAGGCTTTGAGCAGTGCAAAGGCCTCGGTGCTCAGCTGCTGGTTCTCAACTCTGAGCAAGAAAGACATTTCATCCGAAATCTGACCAAAAATACCTTCAGATTTTGGCTGGGCTGTAAGGTGATCGACGGGGAGTGGGTCTGCTCTGATGATAAGCAACAGCCACTCGCTACACACAGCTCAAATACATGCCTCGAGCTAGAATCCGCAATAGACAAGGTGGACAGGGTCTCTTGTGGTGCCATCAGACAGCGTGTTTGTGAGAAACAAATCCCACCTTCTGCAGTACACTGCCAAGCCACGCAAGACGCCAATCTGACCAAGCCTGGCTGCCTGCTGGGCCACGCCTACAAGGCCACAAACTCCAAGAATCCGATACAATGCTGCGAGGCCTGCCACAAGGATCCCAACTGCCGCTCCTTCAACCTGGAGGGGAAGATTTGCCATCTCAACAATGTCTCCATCTCCCAAGTTGATGCTGACAAGTTTGTTACTACAGTGGACAACTGCATCCACTACACACTTGACTGATTATGAGCAATAAGGTCTTGACACTTAAATCTTCATAGCACAGCACACTTTGACTTCACTTTTAAATTCTCTGTACTTGAACAGAATACTGCCTATGAATAATGTGGAATAACAGCCAATGCAAACTGTGTATGTATAAAGACCACAAAGCACCTTTAACCCTAACCATGCTGAACCCAACAAGGTTATGCAGGATTTCAATGGTCCCTAGGGGGTTAAACTGTACACTGAAGTGACACCTATTACATGTAAATGTGTTTGATGGAAGCTACTGTAAAACAAACTACACCTCAGATCACTCTGAATGACAATGCTTACTTAGTTTACTTTGAACAAAAACTGTCTCATATTATCTTCTCATTTGCTGGGTACTACCGCCTGACAATGACATTATGAGACCATTTCATTGAGTGAACTTAGCATAAGAATTGTGTGGTAGTTTAATGAGTCCACGTGGAACAGTGTCACATACATGTACATTTAAATATCAAGGAGTTTTCAAAATTGTAAAAATCATTTGTGACAAAAAATGGCGTATGACAGATGCTAAGACACTTGAATGCCATTACCACGGATGGAGATCTTACAAGTTTGTGCACATTCAAATGAAAAAAGATTATGTGTACTTTGTGTTGGTAAACAAGTAAATACCATGAGGCCGAACAAAATAACAGTTGTGCTTCCTATTACTATGAAAAAAAAAATAGGTTGGATAGATAGGCTGTATCTTTTATTTTTTCATCTAAAATTTTGGGTCAATAATTTTAGGGTGGGAAATTTCTATTATTATTTTTTAATTAAAAAGTGATTTTGATGGTCTACGTTGGAAGTTGGAAATTAAGTTTCGCACACTCAACAAAAAAGCTAAGGTTTCACACCCCTGAAATAAGCATGTGGGTCCGTAGCATTATTATTTCTATTTCTTTTTCAATAAAAAGATTTTGGGTTGGCTCGAATTGCTAGGTTGGGGCGGGTAACTGGAAGCACAACTATTATTTCGTTTGGCGTGAATGGTGTAGAGTGAATTTTGGACTGTTTGAAGTATGGTTTCTGACTGCACAGCACATCCACAGCACAGCACAGTAACAAATGGGCACATGGTAATCATATAACATATAACAGTCCATTTATACTGATAATAATTGCCTGTATCTTGTTTTTTTAACTGATACAGCAAGTGGGCTGTTGGAATCCGGGGGGTTGAGTACATATACCCCACCCAGCAGCAAAAGGGTGCTGGAATTTTACAGGTTGAGTCAGCTTCGTAAAAAAAATGCTGGGGGCTCGAGTTAAAGATAAATATTTTAAGCGTTTTCACATTTTAAAACTTACAAGATTTAAAACTTACATGACTCCGCCGAGAAGTTTCGAGTTGAGGGCCACCACGACTGCACCGAACGAAAGAAGCGCAAACACCTCCGAGAACTGGGCATTGATTCTTGTACCTGTCTTGTCCTTGTCTGATTCAGTAGAACTTGAGTTATCTTGGAGAAGCCTGGGAATAGTCAGAAGAAAATTGAACACTCTTTATGCAACAAATAATAAAGATTTGCAAGCACATGATGAAAGATTTTCTAAGAACAACAAACACTGTCTTGACCACCTCTGTTTGTTTTTGAATTTCAAAAAACTGTCCATTTCTTAAAGTTTAGCCTAAAAACTATAAGTGCAACCCTTACAAGAAAACAGCATAAGCCTACTGGAATGAACTGGACTCAATCTGAGGACAATGTGGCCACCATTAGGAAAGAAAGCTAATACAGGGCTAGACATATGTATGTCTTTTGTTTGGTTCAAGTAATCAGACCAGCCGATCAACAGCTTCCTGAAATAGCTTGAACTTGACAATGGATTTTTACATTGCAATTGACTAGGTTTCAAAAAACAAAAGCAACAAACTAAGTTCAGATTTCACTGTTGACATCTTTCCAGCTGTGCCCATTTTCACCACCCAAGGTGGCAGCTACCAGCCACTGTGCACGCTAACTTAGTCGAAAATTTAAACTTGAAATAAGCCTCTGAGCAGCCTTGATAAAAACTCTGGAAAATTCCAACATGAGAGAGAATATTCCACTTACATCGCAAACATCGTACACAACACGAGTGGACCCCAGAGATCCCCTGTAAAGTTGAAATAAACATAAAAAATTAACCCCTTCGCTCCGGGAGACGGCGAGAGCCGCGGCTTTGTGTGAGGATTAGTGCATACCACACATACAGTCTATTCACCATGCAGCTGCTGGTTCAATGGGGCCTGCTGCTGGACAAAGCCCTCCATTCAGAGCATACCACAGCCAAGCAGTAGAGGTCAAAATAATCCCGCCGTGAAGGAGTTAAAATGTCTATGAATGAGCCACTTTTTGTGCATACATGTATGTGGTATTTTTAGCTATAAAGTAACGAAGTGAATACGTCACACGCACAATTAGTGTGCAAAAGGCATTAGTGCGAAAACCACGGCGCATGAACCAACATGCGCGCGAACTCCATTCGTTTGCACTGCACTTTCTGGTTCACAGTGACGTCACACTTCGGTACTCTATAACTGCTTTCATCTGTGAACAAACCATATATGCATGTTCATGCACACAAGTTACAACACATTGAAAACTGCATGACACCACAGATTGGCTGCTGACTCTTTCAACTATCAGAAGTCAAGACTATGGTTGAATCTGTTACTTTCGTACCTTCATGCTTTTGTCACTGATGCAACAAGTACCTGTCAAAATACATTGATTGCATTTCAGCCATTTCACAACAAAGCACTATTCAAGTTAATCTGGAAAATATTTCTTTCAGTGACTTACATTCTCTGAGGAGAACTTTGCTCTGCTTTGGGTAGAGAACGTGGAATAACTTCACTCCAACTGCTTTGAAGTCTCTCATCTGACAACAAGAATGAAACAGCTCTTCATACTCCAAGATACAAACATCAAGACCCTGTGTGCTTTAGGGAAATACATGTACTACTAATAAGTTACTTTTAAGTTATATTTTTTTATAACTTACTCCTATTCCATCGCAGAGAAGACAGACTTTCCAAACTACGTGAACACTCAACAGTTTGTAGAATACACCCTTCACATTTGATTAAAGCCTTCATCGTCTCAGTCTGGCTATAAAAGGTACGTTCGTCCCATCTATTCAGACTATCCAGAATTTCATCATATTTACACAAGACTTGGTGCTGCACTAGGTTTACTGCAAAGTGAGGTTTAGCAAGTTCAGGAATCTTGCAAAAACACTTCAGTCTAGAATAAAAGCTGAATTGTTGACTACAATTCACTTACGACAAAACAAGGAAGAGGGAAGGGGAATCCCCCCCACCACCAAAGAGTGACATGGGTACTCCCCCTCCCAAACCTGATATCATTCTAGCACACATGCATAAACATGTATTTATCTACAGGGCAGCAAATTTATGGGGTTTTTTGACAGTTGTTCACTACCTCAACACTTTTGGTTTCAATTAATTGAACAATCACTTTTGCTTGCACAGTAAGTCAGTCACAACCAGAGTACATGTACAAACAGTCAATTTATACACAACTAAATCCCATACTTGGTGAGTTTGCAGCAAGCAAGCTCTCCATAGTATTTCCAAGTGAGAGTATTTTTATGATGCATGTCACCCACTTACACTTTTCTTGTGCAAACAGGCCCATCTTATGTTCATGCTGTTTTCTTTATCTTAACCACTTGCTGCCGGGTGCTTTTAAATATGCAGTGCACACATACGGGAGATTTTCAAGATTTTCAGTTTTCAAAATTCTTCAAACATTCACCATTTCATTTAATGGACGTTTACACCCACAGGAATGACTGTTTGGTGGCAACTCTAAGCTGACAGGTAACCTTCATTGACTCCTGAGTATTTCAGCCAGGCCTGCCGCCCTGTAAAGAGAGCCCAGAATTGTGAGGTGTTGCATAATTTCCTTTGTCCCCGGTGTCTTTTTGTGGTGCTGTGTCACCCATCAATAGCGCCCTGGAGCACTTTTGTCCGCAGTGCTAATCTGCAGGCGTGCTATGCTCAAAACACTTGTATACTGTTTAAAAACAGTGACGGATTACCTTCGAAAAATGCAAGCCAAAAACTGATGGCAATTCCCAGCACCAAGTCTTTGTTCTGAGTATTGTATTTTGTTACACGGTCCAGCTCTTTTGTCCCATTTCGGGCACCCCGGCTCTGCATATAAACCCATTATGCTCGAAACGGGGTTCCCAAGCAGCAAGTGGTTAAGTGCATCAAACATTAACTATCTTTGGCCTAAGACATTATTGGTCATTCCCTTTTATATGCCCTTCATATTTCCAAGTGATTTTCGGTTAACAGAATAAAAACAAATTATCAAAACAATAACTGATTGCTGAAGTAACAAATCGCTATGCCTGGCAGGGTGGCATTCGGGCAGTTTTCGTCAGGAAGCTCACAAATGCCCTTTATAGATTCTCCTACCAGGCAGCAGATGAAACACAGAAAAACTTACAACTGTGACTCTAACTGGCTCATCCAGCGTTGACAACTCGACGTCATCGTCAGATGCTCCCGGTATAGTGATGTCTCCCTCCACCGGATGCTCCAATTCCAAGTCTGTGAACTTGGTATCCAACTGTTTAACAAGAAGTCACAAAAACTTCCACTGACACTATTACATGCACATGTAATTCACTGGTGACTGAAACCAACGAGTGGTTCTCACGGTATGTGGTGGAAATTTATGACAAAAACATGAATTTAATACCAGCCAATCTATGCGTCATCAGCACAAAAGAGGTTCAGCTATACAATTGAAAAGCCTTTTAATTAAATAAAAACAACTGCAGAAAGCAGGACTAATAATAACAGTCATTAACCCTCCATTGGTTTTACAGCACAAATGTGCACAAATGCCCACAGTCACTGGTGAGCATGT